CACAATTACTGCAGTTCCACATTTTGTAGGAATCCTTTGTCCTTTGGCTCAATACACCGCTACCTAACCACTTGAGTTATTGACTCACAAAGTCACAATAGCTCAAATGGTTGGAGTAGTGGTGTGTTGAGCCGAAAGTCATGGGTCATAACAGTCAATTATGACTGCTAAACATAATTACTACACTAATTTTATTTTTTATAATTTAAAAAAATTAGTTATGGCTGTTCTAATTTATTGATTGATTTATTAATACTGTGTTTACTCACTGGCTAAGGCAGGGCCATCCCAATTTTCAGAACTGACCATCACGATCTGGCCCTCAGTCGCTGTGTTAAAAAATTATTAAATTGAAATTGGTGGGCTAAATGGCACAGAAGCACACATGTATCAAGAGCTCAGTTGTCAGATAACCCTTGGAGGATATAAATAGGCGAAGAGTGAATATTCCCACTCGACTAAGAATAGGCCATCGGAGGTTGACAGACAGATACTCTATTTCATATGTAAGGCATAAAAATTTAAAATCACAAAGTACAGAGTAAAATTTAGAATTAATGGAAGAAAAACAGGGTCCTAATTTTCAGAATTGGCCTTACAATCCAGTCCCTCGACTCTGAAAATGTGTTAAAAGATGATTAAATAAGAAATAGAGCATCAATTAGCTGAGGAGGGGGCCCTAGGATGATCTGAATAGGGGAAGAGGTGTCGTACTCACGTTTCTAAGAATAGGCCAAACAGGGTTGATAGATTCTCTGCTATGTCTGGCATGAAAAGTTTACCCCAGATCTTCCCCTCCCCCATTTCACTATAGCATATCTTTTAACTAGTCTGATTTAAAAAAGAATTCTCAGTTCTCTTCAATCTTTTCAATTTGAACAAATTATTTCACTGATTGTTAACAAAAACAATGATAATTGGAGCTGTTTAAACTGACTTTAAACAGACCACAACAAAAGAATTTGACAATATTGAGTCAAAGTTATTTTATTTCATTTTGAAATAAGTTCTTTTTATAATAATAACCACATGTACTATATTATATGTTTTGTAGCCTTTGCTATTGTATCAATGCTGTTAAAACTGTACATTTTATTGGTTGACCAAAAGTTGATTCCTGTTGAAAGTTCAAACAAAACTTACATAAGATTTTGTAAAATTATTTACATGGAGATTCTATTTAGTATTAGTACAAGAAATCATATTCTGCCCTTTTTGTATGTTATAGCCATTATTTAATAAAATTTTTCTGTAATCTGATTGTCATTGTACATTATATTTCATTTATTGTAAGTTCTATACATTTCTTGTGTTTTTCTTTTCTAGATGGTGTTGTGCCGTTTTTGTATGTTTTTCCTACATTTTCACGAAGTGCTATTTAAACAGTGCGTAAAGTTGTTTTGCGAGTGTTGAACAGTGTGCAGTTAGCTGGTTCATCGTAGCTGTTTTAAAGCGAGGATTGTTGCCTTCAAAGGGTAAATTTCATTTATATAACATCTATTTATGTAAGTTGTCTACTATTCTCTCATTTAATCTTAATTTTTTTCTTTCTCCAGGAGGGATTTACAAATGGTAAATCAACTCTCTCTGCTGGCAGTCAGGTTAGTGAGCATGTTAGAATTAATATTTTATTATTGCCCCAGCAGCCAATATAATCCTCTCGGTTTAACTATATGTCCTATCTGCAAATTTTAATACAGGTAGTGTTTCAAAAGTAAAACCTATTACCTATTACAGCACCTGCTTAGAAGGGTGAGAATTTACAAAAGTTTGGGTTTTCCCAACTAGATAAAGTTTTCATTTTTTGTAATGAATTTTATTTAATACAAATGGTTTTGTGGCCTCCTGTTTTGCGAAAAGCTTAGATGGCAGGCACAGATTGACACCTCTCTCTGTCGAAATTTGTAGGTCACTTTAGGTCACTGTTACAATTCATACAATTTTTTGTATGATCTCGTAAATAATTTTTGTGTGTAAATTACATTTAATTTATTGTATGCTTTATACATTTGTTTTCTTTTTTCAAGGGTTTTAATTCATTTTTACATCATTGTTTTACATTTTTACAAAGTGCTATTTAAACAGTGCGTAAAGTTGTTTCGCGAGTGTTGAACAGTGTGTAGTTAGCAGGTTCATCGTAGCTGTTTTAAAGCGAGGATTGTTGCCTTCAGAGGGTAAATTTCATTTATATAACATCTATTTATGTACGTTGTCTACTATTCTCTGTTTTAAACTAAATTTTTTCTTTTCACAGGAGGGATGTACAAATGGTAAATCACTCTCTCTGCTGGCAATCAGGTTAGTGAGCATGTTAGTATTAATATTTTATTATTGGCACATAGATAATATTATGCTCTTGGTTTAATACTATCTGCCTGTAACAATAAAATGCAAATTTTAGTACAGGTAGTGTTCCAAAAACATTATCTGCTATCTACAGAACTATCTTAGAATGGTTAGAAGTTGCAAAAATGTGTTTTCCCAACTAGATAAATTTTATTTTTTGTTTATTAAACTTTAATTCATACAAATTTCAAGGAAAAATATACAAAAAGTTCAATTTTTATTTTTTGGGAGAGCCATCAACTGGTAGAAATAGTTGAATTCATTAGTACCCAAACTCGGAACTAACACTTCTGCTGGTAGGTTAAAATTTAAAAACTCATTAATATACTTACATTTTAGAATTTTTTCGTATTTTAAATGTTTCACTAGTTTTAAAAAGTTTTTTAAATCTGGGGTACAATTGCTGGACCAATTGGTATGTAGTGTATCTAGTAGATGGTATGATACATAGTGTTGGAATGTAAATTTGAATTGTTATAACGCGCACTGACGCCTGTTCGTGTAAAATGTTATATATACTTTTAAGACCTGTAGTCAAATGGATGTTAAAAGAAATCAAGACTGTAAAATTTATATCTTTTCTAAAACACTTTTTCTTTTAGTCCTTTATCCTACATATAGATCTAGTAGAAATATTCCAATACATTGGTATTCAAACTCGCGACCCACAACTCCATTGGTAAGCGCAAATTTGAAAAACCATCAATACACTCACTTTTTAGAATATTACATTTTAGATGTTTCACCGGTTTTAAAAAGTGTTTATTTTTAAAAAAAATAATGTTGGAACAATCGGTACTGGATAGTAAAAAATCTAAAGACTGGTTAAAACACCGACTTTTTAGAATATTTTGGTATTTTACATGTTCCATTAGTTTTAAAAAGTTTTTTACATTTTGGGTTTGATTTCTGGAGCAATTGATATCTGAGGCCTAGTAGAAATAGTGGAATACATCAGTGTTCAAACTTGCAACTAACACCTCCATCGGTAGGTGAAAATCTATGAGCCAGCGAAAACAGCTACTTTTTGAAATTTTAGGTATTTCAGATGTTTCAATAATTTTAGATGTATTTGTACATTTGGATACAATTGCTGCAGCGATCCGTATCTGAGATCTAGTAGAAATAGTCAAATACATCAGTACTTAAACTAGCAACTATCTCGTCCACGGAAATCTAAAAACCTGTACAAACATGTACTTTTTTTAAATTGTTAGGTATTTCAAATGTTTCAATAGTTTTAGATAGCATTTTTACATTGGTATCTCAGATCTAGTAGAATACATCGGTATTCAAACTCGCAACGAGTAGTAGGAAATCTAAAAACCACTAGAAACACCTACTTTTTCAAAACATTTGGTTATTTCAGATGTTTCAATAGTTTTAGAAAGTTGTTTTTCATTTTTGGCACAATTTCTGGAGATCGGTATCTGAGATGTACTAGAAATAATCAAATGCATCAGTACTCAAATTCGCTACCAACACCTTCATTGGTAGGTGAAATTTTCAAAATTGGTTAATTCACTTACTTTTTAGACTTTTTTTTTTGTATTTAGATGTTTCACTAATTTTAAAAAGTTTTTTTTTTTATATTCGGGGTACAATTGCTGGAGCAATCAGTATCTGAAATCGTCAAAAATGAAGAAATACTTTCTAAAACTAAGGAAATATCAAAAATATAAAAAACTTAGAAAAAGTGAGTTTTTTCCAATGTTTCTATTTTGAACTCCCGGTTAAGTCGAGAGTTGCGAGTCAGCGAATGTAGCCTGCCGACTAGTTCAACTTGATCCCGTGTATCAATCTTGTTAACATTTGGTGAAAATATCTAGAAAAACTTGATAAAAATAAGGAAATATCAAAAGTCTAAAAAAACTTCGTAAAAGTATGTTTTTTTTTCTTATTTTTATATATTGAACTCCCGGTTAAGTCGAGAGTTGCGAGTTAGCGAATGTAGCCTGTCGACAAGGATAGGGATGGTGAGTTAAACGGGAGTGTACTGAGAATCTGAAGAATAAGAGAGCATACATGTAAGGAGAGGAATATTTATATTAAGATTTAATAGAAAGAAATAAGCCAAGAAACCACTGTTTACCATAACTGCACATTAGTGCAGATTAGTCACGTGTGGAGCAGAAGAAAAAATATACAAAAGATTCATCGGGTGTTTAAACTTATATTTAAGCTTCGCAGTGCGTCCTCAGATCTGTCCTTAAAGGGCTTAACTTTTTTTTAAACCTAATTTTTTTATTTCATACAAAAATTGAATACTCGAAAGCGAAAATTAAACAGTTCAAATTTATTCAGAAAAATGTTGAATTCTTTTTTACAGTTTTGAAACATTTCATTTTAGGTTGGTAAAAGTTTGATTTGATTTAGAAAAATTTCAATTCGGTTGGGAAAAAGTTTCAATAAATTTGTAAAAGGTTGATATAGTAGGTATAAGATACAGTAATTAATATAAAAAAATTTGTCTGTCAAGAATGTGATGCCTATATGATTATTTCTAAACATCCTGGTCTGCTAAACTATGGCTTTGGATTTTTAATTTATAATGAAAATCTTCACATTTTGTCCGACCATTTGACCAAACCTGTAAGAAATGGGAGATGTTTGGAAGGTTGATTCTTATGCATAGATGTAATAATTATAAATGCTTCTTTGATGTAACTATTGGGATTCTTGTTTGTTTACTAATTTTATTGTACAATTAAAAAAAGTTCTAGTTAAAGGAATGAAATTATTTTACCAAAACATATTAGAGAAAGGGGGTGGTCAATGCTTATTAACAAATAGGTCAATTGTTTGTACATGCTTCCCTGAAGTAGCTGCTGAGATTCTTGTTTGTTTATTAATTTTATTTTACATTTTTTTAAAATTAATAGTTTTAAATGAAAAAAATCATTTTACCAAAACATATGAGAGAAAGGGGAGACCAGGTCGATGTAACATCAATAGATAGATGTTTAAAGAGTTTTTTTTTAAACAATAACAAATATAGAAATTCATACATATTTTAAGAGATGCTTTTTGTAATATTTATAAATGCTTCTTTGAAGTAGCTGCTGAGATTCTTGTTTGTTTGGTATACTATAAATACAAACTAATTTTATTCTACAATTTAAAAAAAATTAATGATTCTAGCTACATACATAAGTTAGTTATTAAATTACAAGTATGAAAAAATACAATCGCAATAATTTACAAGTATAATTACATATAATATAAAATTAATGTACAATATGAATTATTATTAAATTGGCAACATTTGCTTTATTTAATGTTTTTAAATATTTATAAGATTTGTACACACAGACTTCGTTCAAACTCGAATACCCTAAGCAACTTGGCAGTGAAGAAACCTTCTCAAACACGCATACAGAGATTGCTTTACTTTTAATAACTTTAAGCGAATTGAACTTCTTTCTGTAAAAAGTAGGGAAGTCTTGTGAGGGGTAGAAGTCTTAAAGCTATATCAGATCTCAAAATATCCATGAAAACATTCTGTACATAATGATGTATGTAAATAAGGAATATTTACATTTTCCTCAATGTGCCATTATTAATTTTATAACTAAGATAATAACTGAACAAAACATCATTCAATGCCTTTCGTTGACATTTGCCAATTGAAATTTATTAAAACAATTCCTAGCTGTAACATTCCTTCATACAGGCACTTCCAACCCTAAAATCTCAATTCTGACTCGTTATTTATAAATTATAAACATTTTGTAAAAGTAGAAATATTGAGGTATGAAAAATATCTGCCAATTCTGTTTCAGTGGTACAAAAACTGCAGGTTGTACACATATAAAAAATGATTTGCATAAAATTGTAAATAATAGCGAGAGATCATTTTGAAAATGCATAATGGCACTTGAACTAAAAAAATCTTTATTTTGTATTTATTTAAAGTTCAAATACAATACCAGTGTATTTTTCTTTGGCTATTTAATATATAATCAAATATAAATGAGACAATTTATATACAAAGCATTTTTTACGATATAATATGTAAATTCTGTTATACTGTTAAATTTTTAGACCGGACTGGAAGTGATCTGCATTTTCATAAATAACCTAGGTTTCTTTCTGTTCTTTTTTTTTTAATCCTTTCTATTATACATGAATACTAAAGAACGTATCAGTGTTAAGAAAATGCCTTCTTTCAAGTTGTTCTAACAAAATAAATTTGCTAATCGCTTTACTAAATATTTTTTCTTCTTTTCTAAATTTTCTTTTAACTTCTTGTCGGGCACTGATAAAAGTTATTCTAAATTTGAAAGAATTCTTTAAATTAAAATTATTCTTGTGATGTAATTTTATTAAAGAACATTTTGAGCAAGAGCAAGCCACACTTACACACATAAAAAAAAGAAAAAAAAATTTACAATAAATTTTGACGGGAATATTTCAAGCATGCAAACTTAGACCTCTGCTCCATGGTAACTTTTTGGATACATTTCTGCAAGAGGCGCGTTTAATTTTTTTTACTTTTTTTTTTTTTCAAATACTTTTATTAAAAAACTAAAAAATAATAAAGGTTAAAGTCTTTGCTCCTTTTAAAAATAAAAACTAAATGTCAACTTACTAAAACACACATAAATACTTTAAAATATGTTCACGATAGCAGAATCCGTGTACATAAAAAAATTAATGATTATTTCAATATTCACTTAATAGTCATTGCAAGCAAATGCTTTTATTATACAAATAATACTGATTGTTCTCAAAGAACACACTAATTTATGAACAGATTTATTTGACTATAAACACTCACTTAACACCAATTTGTAACATAGAGAGCATGAGATTCTGTTCCTCTATCGCACACAATCACTGCCACAAAAATGGCACACATTGCGAATCATCATGACACGACGCAGAGTATAATGAGTATTTGAAGAGTAGAGAATGATCAAATTGGCCCACAGTAATTTTTTCTTTACTTAGAGTTTCTCTCTTTGGTTCCGTAGCTTCTTCTGCCGTGTCATTCAACTAACCCCTCGTATTTGAGGCACGCCTGGGAGAGTATTCTTCAGTGAGGTAGTAGCGTGTCACCAGGCCTTAACACGAGCACTTAAGGAGGCGCAAGAACTAATTTTAGTTCGTTCGATGGCCAACAGTGACTACAACAACCTCCGCAATTCACTTCAACGATCGTATTATCCTGAAAGCACATTATTTTATAGTAATCGTGCAATTATGACAAATTTTATGTAAAACATACGTCGGATATAGAAATCTCCATTTTTGTTCCAGTCGATGACACCCAATTATTATCAGGTGAAAGTATCAATCCAGTATTTCTCAGATTTATTCTGAAATAGCCTTGCAAGCCTGCAGCCTCACCATACCTCACTGGGCTACCCTGTATTGTTCTCGCAAAAGTCCAATCACTTCCTGTGATCAAATCACAAATCATAAAATATGAACCGAAGATTGAATGAAAACTGAACTTGATTGCTAATTAAATACATGATGCTATTTACAGTGTTTACAAAATAAATAAATAAATAAATTAACTAAATTAATAATAAAAAAACTATGCAAAAATGAGCGAATAATAAATGTAAGTACTCGGTAAGTACTTACTATTTACTGTCATTGTGTTCACATTCAAAGCGATCTTGTTGAAAATCGTATATCCAGGTTTAAACATGTTCCTGGCTAATTTATTATTGTGACAAATCGTCTGCTTAGGACAGGTATGCGGTTTTTTAACTCTACAAAGTAAAGCAATTAAATTTATCTGTTAAAATAGTAAATTAGGTAAATTCCATGGCTTGAGGACATACACAGGATCAAAGTTTATCGCCAAGTTGTGCCGGTAGTCAAGATCAATGTATTCTTTCGGGTAGCCGTGGCTGGTATCACAATATACTTTTAATTTGTTCTTGTGATCGACAGGATAAATCGTATAGTATCCGTCTTTCATAAAGTGACTTCCTATTGCATTAAATAGTTCTTTACAGCTCGAACCTGGAAATTTGTGTTTATGTTTGTACTATATGTATAGTTTATTAACAATGTTGAGACTTACAAATTACATCACAATTTCTAACTTTTACCGGCTCGGGTAAATTACGGCACCTTGCTTTTGAAACTTTTCTGGTTCCGTTGAAACATTTCACCTCTCTTTTTTGTTGCCTTGGTGGAGAGCAAGTGTTGGTACACTATAAACAAAAGATTAATGAAATTATTAAATTATACACTGGATATAATACATATCAGCAAATAAACCAAGTGTAAGACTGAAGAGGGGAAACAGAAGCCCCCCAAAATCAATTTCATAAAAATAAAAAAATTAAAAAAAAGACTGGATTTTGTTCTTGAAGAAAAATCTACTACATGTGATTATCAACGAAAAAACAAAAAAACAACAACAGAGATATAGGATATAATTTGTGTGGTGATTAGTGACCGTTAGTTGATGATTATTCAGAAATAGTGAGATGCGGTCTGGTGTGATGTAGGCTTCAGAAAAACATTTTCTTTATCGTGCCAACGTTTCCATCTTTATTGAGATCATTTTCAGGGCCTGGGATTGATAAACATTGTTTAAATTTTATTATCAATTAGTAGGATGTAAAAAAAAGAATTTATATAACGCGGTAGTCGAGTGGTTAGCGTTAGAGACTCTCGGCTCGTAGACCCCGCGGTCGTGGGTTCGCCGTCTGGCCTTTTTTTCACGATACCCTTCCCCCCAAAATGAATACGCATACAATACATTGTCTTTGGCTAATATGCAAAGAACATAAAGCCATTAAAAAAAAAATCTATCGTTATATAAATTAATTTTTTTAATCTAAAATTTTCTAGCATTGTATAAATTCATCCTTTCAAATCTAAAATGTTCTATCATTATATAAGTTCATTATTATTATTATTATTATTTTATATACATATATTTTTTGTTAATTTGAAATTGTATAAATTCATTTTTTTTTATCTAAAATTTTCTAGCATTGTATAAAGTCATCTTTTTTACATCCTACATATATTTGTAGGATTTAAACAATGTTTATAAATCCCAGGCCCTGAAGATGATCTCAATAAAGCTTTAAACGTTGGCACAATAAAGAAAATGTTTTTCTAAAAGCTATGATCTCTGAATAATAAAAAATTATATATACATACATATATATTGGATAGGTTGGCTAAAATAAATTTTTTAGCTCACCATGTCAAAATTAATCATAATGTACTAATTTATATAATATTTGAATTCTTAATAACGTTTGTTATTTATACATACCGGCTGCCACGGAAGTGCAACCCACGAAAGTGTCTGCCTGTTTGTCATCCCTCCACAGTTCGTGTTGCAGTGTTCTTTCGTTGCCGGTTTTGGATTTACACAGTGATTCTCTTTGGTTTCATCTAATTCATTTTCCCTTTGGCTCTTTTTATGACGGCCCTTTTTCACGCATACGACAGTCCTTGTTCTTATCCCAGGGCCACATGTGGCGGAACACTGTAAACGAAACATTTCACATTATCCCATCCAGTCGTTAAAAACCTGTTCAATTATGCCACAAAATGGATATATGTACATGCCTTTTTTTAAATCACTTTTATTCACAAGGACAATATGATTGTTAATACTGAAAACTTTAATTTGTCAAGACAACAATACAATCCATACTATATCAGTTAATGCCAATTTTACCCAAAGTTACTGCACATTTTTTAGTTCTTCAGGCTAATAAAATACCATTCATATTTGGAAGATATGTAATATGGAACACATGCTTTTATTCATTTAAAAACAATCAAGGTGCATTACAAAATATTGGTTAAACAATTTTTTATATGTAATTGGTTTTTTGACCAAATCTGTTTATATATTAATTTAATCATATTGAATTGATGATTATTAACCAAAATAAATATAAAGGTTTAAAAAAGTAACAAAATGTTGCAATTGTTTCATGGTTTTTACACGAGCAAATATAAAAACGCAAAAAACTCGTCTCCCTTGATTGTTATTTACTGATTAACAATAGAAAATTGAACCATTTACCTCATGCATTAGTGCCCTTAAGAGACCACTTTTAAAATTATTATTTTTATCCAGCTTCCTGGTTATGTGCCCTTTGACTTTCTATTCATACTTACCTTGGTATTCGATAATTAAAATGTCTGCAATGGTGCCAGGTTTGGTAACCAATTTTAGCACAAAAAGCAAAGCACAAATAAAGTAGATACAAGTAAACAAAGCAAAATCTGTTAATAAACATTGAGTGACTGGGTAAAAAAAATGTTAATTCTGTTTGACTTTGTGACTAAATTGTGTTTCAAACAAACAATACTTGGTATGATTAAGGTGTTGGCTAGATATGCAAGTTACAATTTCTTGAAAAACTTATCCCATTTCCAGTCTTATTAAACAGTTTGATCTCTTAATTAGAACATTAAATTAAACTTAACCAACTTTTAAGAAAAAATGTGTGTTGATTTATTAAAAAACAATAAGACACTGAGGCTTTTTTTACATTTCAATTTATTATTTCATTAAATCATAACTGTCTGTTTAAAAGTTAAGATGTTTACTACTGACGATTTTCCAGTTGTTCAAGTTAAATAAAATGTACTGGATTGATTTTAAGATAAAATATAAATTGAGGGGGGGGGAAGAAAGGTCGAAAATATTCATCTGACTCATATAATTTGAAATATAATATATTTTGTCGTGTATGGATTGGTGAAAACCAAAATAAAGTGTTATCCCTGGTTTTATTTACCGTTCAATCATGTATTATACTTTCTCAAACATTCATTCAAACAACCAGACCAAAGACCGATTTTTTCAAACTGAATTTGTACTTTTCTATTTGTTTTACACTACCCAAAAGGTTTTGAAGTTAAGTTACAAAAAAAAAAAATAAAAAAAAAAATAAAAAAAAAAAAAAATAAAAATAAAAAAATAAATAAATATACTTTTATGACGGGGGACTACAGTCGGTGATCAGGGCTAGAGATTTGACACGCTTGCGGTTCTGGGTCGAAATCCAGGCGTAGCCCATGGATTTTTAATTTGAGAATATTATGAAAATTGTATTGTAAAATCGTTTGACCCTTTGTCCGCAACACCCTTCCATATGACAGGAGTTTATTTTTATTTTTATTACATGATTGTGTCAATAATCGAGAAATTAAATCAGTAAATAGTTGAAATAATTGTTTATCGTATCGACTGAAAATCATATCTTGAAGACATTAAGGATCTGAGAGTCAGCTCAATGAAACTGCACTCGATTCAGAACAACTCTATTGATTACAGTAAATGTCTGTCAGAAGTTTACAATGGATACATTTCGAGACTAAATACACTTCTACTCCTTACGGGTCAAAATTTCAAAAATGCGCGTGTCAGAGGGAAGTGATCGGAAGGGTTGAGGCTTTGAGTAGCTTTCCGCTAGATGTGGAACCTTTTCCTCTCAGTGAAGATGAAAATGATTTGTTGCCAAACGACAATGAAAAACCTGACGTTGAAGGCGATGCGCTCTCAGAGGACCACTTTAGCTCAGAAAATTTTTCAAATTTAGGTTCCAGAGAACAAAGCAGAAACTTTGTGTTGGGCAAAGATGGCGAAACTATCTGTACTGATACCGATCTTTTACTGTCCAGAAATGCAAGAGTAGCTTCAAAGAATATTATTACCCATTTGCCTGGTGCTAAAGCAAATGCTCGGAACCTTGCAGACGAGGAACCGTTGTATTCCTTATTCATCAACCATGCCATGATTGTAATTGTAAAATATACCAATGAAGAGATTGCTTAAAAAATACTCAATACAGGTCTGACCAGCGCTATGAACCCACAGATGGTATTGAAGTGAAAGCTTTGCTGGGCCTTTTATTTTTCAGTGGCATTATGAGAGATTTGAACCTGAATGTCTCAGACATATTTTGTCGTCTATTTAGACCATCCATTTTTCGAGCAGTGATGTCCAAAAACAGATTTGTCTTCTTTCTTTGCTTTCCGTTTTTCGGAGTATGTATGTTGTTCCTTGTGATGCTGTGTTCCATTTTGTAAAGTTATTTTTTTCATTTTAATTTTATAAGAATTTAATTTTCACTTTACGAAGAAGTTTGACTGTAGTTTTGTAGATAATATCAAAAAAATTGAAGTTAATTTTTTACAAAGAAAGATTTTGGGATTCGAATTTTTTGTCACTAGACTGTACTTTATCGCGATTACAGTACGTTTTAAAGCATTTATTTTGAAAAAATGTGGTTTCGTATCCTACAAGGTTAATAAAAAGTAAGAACTTTTAAAAAAAGTTCTTCAAATTTCCCAAAAATGTTGAAAAATATGATTCCATTGCATTTAAAAACCAAGTTGGGTCAAAATGACCTGACGTTGTAGTATATATCCAGGCGTTTCACAGTGTTGACCGAAGGTTAAGTACGCAAAAAAGAAACTAATATAATAATAAAGCTAAAATTTGCTAATAAGAACATCAAGATATCTGTAAGTGTAGATTTTTGTTATCATCTCTGATAAAGTGAGGTATTACAACGATATTTTATTCCCCAGTTAATAAATAAATAAATAATAATAAAAAATGAGTCAGAATGTCTAAATGTTTATTTTTCCGCAATTTGCAGAACTTCCTTTCATATTTTTAAGAATTAAGCAATCATATTTGTTCATTTAACATCTCATTGAGCAAGAAAAAAGATTAGACATTAAAAATTTTTTTTTTTTGTGTGGGTTAAGACAATTTGGGCTAACTTACTATAGCTTCATTGTGTAAGAATTTTACTTGATAATATAATGTAATTTTGATTTAATTTTGTAAAACAAATGAAAAAAATAAAAAATATACGTGTTTGAACCCAATTATTATTAAGCCCACATAGCATTTTATAAACCAATGCCCAATTGTATTTACCTGTTCAGTATATTTCATAAATTATTACAATGTTAGCAGACCAAAAAAAGAAAAACACATAACGTTTATGAACTACAGAAAAAAGGGTTAATGAAACTCCCATGGTTTAAAAAAAAATCTCATGCAAAACACAAAAACCACCCTGAAAGGGTAATGGAAAAAATACAACAAAATCAGGATATGAACGTCACCTCACTCCATTTTCCACGACGCCAGACATGGTCATTTTGATGGCACATGCGCTTGCAGGGCCGTTTCAATTTTGGTTTCCCCAGATGAGCACAGTGTTTCTCTCCTACAACGCTCTCGCGTATAACACAGTGTAATATTGTTCGGCTTTTTGTGCAGCTGTCTCTCGAACACTGGCAGAAACATGGGATTCATTCCGAATCAGAACAGTTTCACTTAACACTCACCTCTTTGCGTAGAATTTCTTAGTTGTTATCATTTTGCTAACATTCGTTTTCATGATTTTTTAAAATATTTTATTTAATAACATGCATGAAAATGAGTGGTTTCAGAGAAAGAGAGAGCTAAATTAGATATAATGTACATGTTTTTAAAAAAAATTTATAAATTAAATTAATATTTGCAGTAAAGAAAAGTCTTTAGAGGTACACAAGTGTGTTTTAATTTTTTTAATTTCCAAAAGAGAAAAGCAAAGCTTGAATTCATTTTGTTACATAATAATGTTGAAAATTTTTAAAATAATTACGGATTTTGTAAAGTGTTCATATCTGCCAATAATTAATGTAATTTCAACAATAAAACTTTATATACCCATTAATTAAGGTTTTTAGTTGAGATAAAAGTGAGTGTCACGAGCGGGATTTGAACCCACGATCTTCGGCTTGATACGCCGCTGCTCTATCACTTCAGCTATCGTGACTTTGATCCACTCGGACACTAACTTCCCATCTCAACCCCACCTTTGAATTTTCCCTCCTTTTTGCCATTTTTCAAATGTCGTGCAATCTATTTGATTCTCGGCGACAAATGAAATGGCCACGGAGAAAAGATGAATTTGAAAAATGGTAAAAAGGAGGGAAAATTCAAAAGGTGGGGATGAGATGGGAAGTTAGTGTACGAGTGGATCGAGGTCATGATAGCTCAAATGGTAGAGCAGCGGCGTATCAAGCCAAAGATTGTGGGTTCGAATCCCGCTCGTGACACTGACTTTTTTATCTCAACTAAAAACCTTAATTAATTGGTCCAGCGGACCACGAAAACTAGTGAATTAATTTAAGGGCTTGTACCAATGACAAATAGAAAGCTAAGATATTGCTCTCCCTCTTTCTCAGAAAATAATTTACTTTATATATTTTTCTCAATATCTGTTGTGATTTCATTTATGCTAGGAGAAAACATGATAAACTAAAAACAAGGTGATCAGAGGCCTTACCTGTGACCATTTTGACATTTTCCATTTTGCTTTTACATCGATGCTGACACAATCTTCATTGTAGCACGGTTCTAAATGGTTAGGTTTATTTTGTCGGCAAGCTCTCTCTGGTAAAATGTCTCCGAAGTGGGATTTACATTGGTACTCTACTTTACTAAATCCATGGCCACACGTGACATTGCACTGAAATGACAAAAATACAAGTTTAAACAAAATTCACTAAATTAAAACATAAAGTAAAATGTAAAAAATGCAATTTATTATTACTTACTGGTAACCTATTGACTTCAACCCACTCCCCTTCTTCTAAGCAAGGTCCTGCATCGCAGCTCGCTCTCTCTTCTGGCCTGGGGCTGGAGCAGAATTGACTAGTTTCAGGGCATATGACATTCCTCATTTTGATTCCGACTCCACAAGAGACAGAGCACTTAAAAATAAAACAAATGGAATAATTCTCATTCGAGTCGTGGAATATTCAGGGAGCTCACCTGTGACCAGTGTTCAACAAGCCATCCTCTATCTTTGTAGCAATATTTTGAGCAATTTCTTCTATCATTGGGCATCGTATCCGATTGGCAAAAGCTGTGTGGAACTTCTTCCTCATTTTCTCCTACACAATATACGTGCCTTCTCTCGATACCCTAAGAATAAAAATATATTTTTACTTAGGTGTAAATGTGAAGGTCACAGGCCTCAATATTCCTTCAGACCAACTTATAAATTACAGCCAAGATAGTATTTTACAATACCTTTCCACATATGGCTGAACACGGCTTCCAATTTTTAACTCTCCATTTGCCAGAACAAGGAGTGAAACATTCTTCAGATGTGGTTCTAGTATCATGGTATTTTAAGCAGAGATTAGAGCTGACGAAAATATTCTTATAGTTGTCATAGCATTTGTACAACTCCTTTTTTCCTTTGCCACATTGTGGAATACACTGGAAATAACGTTTTAGTTACCTATTTATGTATACAACAGGAAGAAATACAAAAAATTTGTATGCAATTGTTAATACTTCAGTAAACTCATTAGCAGATGTGTTTATTTTTGACTTACTTTACCAACATGTGTAGTCCATGTGTAGGGGGAAGATGAACTTGTGTCATCAGGCACTGCATTTTCCTGTGGAAACGAGCAAGGGGTTAGATTGCATGATCTGGTTGTAGGAGGCTTCTGCAAATTCCCGCAACCGTTTGGAACAGTGCATTCTATGCGAATGCTCTGGTCTCCGAGACCACAGGTGGTTGAACACTGGAAGAAAAAAACGAATAATGAAATTGAATAATGAGAACATAACCTATAAAAAACTTACCTGTGACCATTCGCCAATTTCCCTCCATTGCGGACAAGGTTGAAGATTACACTCTTCTTCTTTTACTGGCGGAGGCCCTTCACAAAGTGAACTGTTGACATCTTTTCTACCAACTTTACAAGAATAAGGCTTTCTTCTTTTCCCGCGGCCACACGTCTGTGAACATTCTGACCATTCTTTTTCCTCCCAACTTGGACAGGGTTTGATCTGACAAGCTTCTTCTATATTTGGTTTTAAAAGGTGGTCACATTCTCTTTCATCTCTTTCTCTATTGGCCTCATCGACACAAGTTGCTTTTCTTGTTTTTATCCCTTGGCCACAAGTCTGGGAGCACTGAAATAAACAATAAATCAAAAGCAAAAATTCTTTTGCTTCGGTCACTTCAAAATTTCTAGTTTTGATTTTAGTAACAAAAAATAAAAACAAAAAGCCTGAAGTAGTTTAAGGGAATGAAAATACTAACCGGTGACCAAGGACCGTAGCCCCAACCAGTCGAATCACAAGGGCCTTCACAGTATTCAGTTTCTCTTGGTTTTGACAAATGACCGCATACATTTTCATATTGATATGATTTATGAGTATCCCCATACTCGTCTCTGTGAATCTTTACGCATTTGAAAGACAGCGTCCTTTCTCCTGAACCACAATGGCTTGAACACTCCGATCTCATAGTAATTTCCCATCTATAGAATAACTAATAAATGCATTCTGAATAATAAAACTACTTTGATGAAATTATTAAACTAACTCGAGGTGACAATTTGTGTTGCAAGCGCTTTCCATTCTCTTTGGCCGGTTGATATGGTCACACAATTCTTTGGCTACTTCTTCGCCATTTTTAACTTTAACACACCGGTAATCCCGCCACCTTCGACCTTAAAAAGCATAGTAGAGTCGAACATTCTATCGTGTGCATTTTCTCACAGGTATTATATAGTATGTCGATTTTTCAATCGAGTTTGTAAAACATTACCATGGCATACTTTATCACAATGAGTCCAATCTTCAGCCAGTTCCCAAGTATACTTGTTAATGCTCTTTTGCACCGTATAAGCATACTTAATTTGCGGAGGAACTATACCGACTACTGAAAGAACCTGAGGAAAAATCATATCACGTAATACACCTAAATTGTATTATTTTAAATTATTGAATGTACTATTTAAACACTACCTCTACAATAAGATCTTTAGTAAGGGGACGAGAAGCATTAACTCTTTCGATAATTGAATCCGCACCGGAATATTCAATGGTAGTTCCGCCGTAAAGAATCCTTTTGTGGTGGCTTACGACAAAATGACCGTTAAGTATATACTTCTTAGTATCCACATCAACTAATGCTGTAAGAAATTAAACATTTAATATTCATGATATTTAAGATGAAAATTGACCTTGTACCTAAGTAATTATCATCATGACGATCGTCATTGTTACTATACTGCCTTATTTCAATATTTGAAGATCCAGCTGGTATCCTCACTACTGGTTGATAGCCGTACTTCGGTTCATTATACGTACCCACTTTCTGCTCACAGGAGGAATTGTTTCCTCCACATTGCCCACAATAATCTGCAATTAAATCGTGCGTGAGAATAAAAAAAAAATCACCGGAGGGTTTTGTAAATTTTATGCAGTTAGAGCATAAAAGCCTATGGTTTCGTTAAAAATAATGGAGCGGTATGAAGTATTCGGAAATTTTCAGGCACGAAATTTCTACATATCAAACTTAACTGCAAGGCAATGAACTTGGTTTAAATGTAGTTTTGGAATTTATCTGAATGTGTTTTATTTTATATCTATTTTATTATTGTGGGCATTTGTAACTAAAGTAAACAAAATAATAAAGAAAAAATAAATAAATAAAAGTAGGCCACACAATTTTATGAAGAATAAGTAATGAATATTTTTTGTCCTTTTAATATTTTCAATGTGAAAATATTGTGATGTCAATAATACATATAATGTTGTTTTTATTCAAATTAGTTGCAAAATTATATTTCTTATTTTGGCTTGATATTTATGACAACTGATGCAGATGTCAGTTTCGTGGATAGGAGTAAGGTATGGTAGAAAAGGATACTAGGAAGCGGGGTTTGCACGCCCCCGGCACTGCAGCCTTCTGGCTTATTGTACCTTCCTAGTTCCTTAGTTCAGTGCAATTGACTCAATCCTTTTCCTTAGAAGTATTAGGTCATTGTTTGACTGTATGACTGTTGCTGCTGTTGATTCCCTAATTTTTTTTCCGTATGTTAGGTTAAATCTCCATTGAGCTGTTGCTTCGCATTCGAAGATGATGTGAGTGGTTGTTTCCTCCTCCTCATTACATAATCTGCAAATGGGATCATCGCTGTATATACCCATGTTGTGTAGATGTTTTCTCAGATGCCAGTGACCGGCTAGTAGTCCTACCACTCCTCTGAGTTTGGCCCTCTCTAATTGCAGCAACGCTTTTGCCAGTCTCGGTGAGGGTTGTTTCATCATAAGTTTACTATGTCTAGCACCGCTAGAGTTTATCCACTTCTCCTATTGTTTTGCTTGGATCCATTCTGCGATGGAGGATTCTATATTTGTTTTTGTTATCCCTAGTATAGGTTCAGGGCCAATGTATGGTCTTGCAGATCCTCCTCTGGTCAGTCTGTCTGTTTTCTTGTTACCCAAAATTCCCCTGTGCCCTGGCACCCAAGATATCATCAGAGTAAGGTATAATCTGTAGCATGTCTACTGTCCAATGTATGATGTTGATGATGACGAAAGCTAGGAAGCTTCGGTTTTTATTTCCAAAGAACTTCAGCCTTCTGGCTTGTACTTTTCCTCATTCCTAGTTCAGACCAATTGACTTGATCCTTCTCTTAAGAATTATTAGGTCAATGATGCAATTTTTTCCCTGAATCTTCTCAATATCCTAGGTTATGTCTCCAATGGTGAGCAGTTGCTTGAGATTCAAAGATGATAAGACTGGTTCTTCCTACTCATTACATAACCTTGAAATGAGGTCATCATTGAATATGCCCAGGTATTATTTCAGATGCCAGTGACCAGAAAAAAAAACCCTGTCCATTTCTAGGTGTAGCAATGTGTTGGAAAGTTTTCATGAGGGTTTTTTAAATCATAATTTTATTGCTGACTTACATAACTGTTTCTGAACCAGCAGTCTTGGTGACTATGGGAGCAATACCTATTGACCTAATGGTCTGCATAGAAAGTGAAGGGTACCTCTAATAAAGGGCAAAAAAGGATTGACGCAGGAGTTGTACAGCAATTTTGGTGAACCTCACCTGAAGAAAAAGAAAGACAATGTGCATTCATGGCATTACAGAGCATGTACCAAACATTCTTTGAATGTGAGTGGTAGACAGGAGAATGAAGGAAGTCAACTGATCAACTGCTCCCGGAGGTTGGGCAGAGTTGGTAATTTCGGCTTGGCTTTCATACTTTAACATATGCACATAATAATTCCATGATGGTTTCACACTGAATAAGTGAAAGGGTTTTTAGTGGGTGGGGCATCACAGAATAGAAGAAGCCTCTCAGTGTTATCCTCCTAATTTCTCCCAAAGATCTCATTTAATTAAAGTATTTTGTCAAACTGAAATATTAAGTTAAATTCTATCTGGAATAAACACATGCTCAAATAATATCACTACTCATCATTCACTTGCTTCATGGCAACACATTAAATCACAACTGTAAAAATTGATCGGTTGAAATGTCCATTTCTTCAGTTTGTATTAAGCTTATACAAATCTTAAAGCACGGAAAATATTTAATATAATTATATATTTGTTACAATAATAATGACCGTCACCATTTTTTTTTAAATATTACGTTAGATGTAATAATTCCTTTCAGCCTAAAAGCAATTTGTTGACCACCTACATCTACTTTTACACTGTCACCTTTATTTTGGTAAATATTTATTTATATTATAAATGTCAATAGGGTGAGTTGAGAAAAGGATTCAGATATGTCAAGGGAAAATTGCTATGTTGTTAGTAAATGATTTGACATTTTTCTGCAGATGGCTGTCATGAAAAACCATGCGACAAATATGTCCTAAGCTACCTTAACAAGCCAATGAAAAACTTGATTTTTTCTCATAAAATGTTGAGCCAGCATTAATTTTTATAGGGTTTATTATTGATGTCTGACATTTTGAATACTAGAGGAGGGTAACATTTTTTTTTTAAATATTCAAATGTACGTAAGTGTGAACTTTTAACAGCACATCATGCAATTTTATTGACTCACGGGATGTACCATAAAGAAATGAATGTCTGCCTTCTCTGTACCAACCTGGAGTGAAAAACATTTTTTAAAACCCAAAACACATTTTTTTTTAAATTACAAAAAAATCATATTTTGACAATTTTTAAAAATTCTTCTTGCCAAAAGAGATTCTGACATGGTAGGTTGACTATTTTTATAATAAAATTACCCAGGTCAGTCGTGGAGTTGAGTTCGTGATCGCAGCCGGCCGGGTGGCAGGCACCATTGACACAGATATCGGATGTGTCAGGATCGCACACAGTTCCATCAATCACTTTATCTTTGAGTAGATAATAAGAACTGGATTGTGAGACTCGACAATACAATTTGCATCTATCTTCAGGGCTGACTAAAATAAAAAAATAAAAATAAAAACTCAGTTAAAGACTTTTGCACCAGAACAAATAAAGAAAAAATGCAATGTAAACAATTTTTTACTAAATACAATATAAGCTTGTAATACTTACTTCCTCCATATTTTGGAAGCCATTTGACATCTTTTGCAAGGCCTTGAATCTTAAAATTATTGTTGTTATACTCCGCGCATTGTTGTTCTCTGAAAAACGATCACATACGGGCAAATAATCTAATTTTTGTCTTTCGTTTCTTGTTGAATGTATTTTTTTCTCTTCGTATAATACCTGAAGTCTTGAGTGCCTTCGGGACATTCCTGGGTTGAACAGGATTGGTACCTGGTTCTTTGGCCGACACAATAATGGCCTCCATTGGCCGGTGGAGGGTTGTTACAGTGACGAATTGACCTCCTCACTCCTCCGCCGCAAGTCCTCGAGCACTCACCGAATCTAGATGATTTTTTTAAATTCACAAATAACACAAAAACTGATATGTTTGTGAGTTAAAACACAATCAATTTTAGACAGCCACAAACCAATGTGTTGAAATGGAAACTATTTTTACAGCTGCTATGATTTTTTGTTTTTAATTTTAAAAAGAGTGATATTATATACTGAAGATTTAAGTTTTAATGTCTTATAGTTCATTTTTTTTTTTTTTTTTGCCTGGTTATAAATTTAGTTTAAACATAGAAGGTTGAGGTAAATAATCTTTTTCTACAAAAACTACTAACATAAATAAAATATGAACTAATTAGATCCTATTAGTTAAAATCGAGTAGCATTAATTGTTTTATGAAAAAAGTTGTGTGCCGTTCCCCTGAAAAAAAAAAAGAAAAGTACAATGGAACTCACCCTTGCCATGGGCCCCAACCACCATCGATCGGATACAAAGATTCTCGATTCCTGGGAATGCAGTGGCCCCTTTGGCACCACTGGTGCTCTCCGCAAGGTGTGCCATCCGCCCAAGGAAGATGCAATGACTTGCATCCTTGGCTTTGATTTCCTAACTCGGAAGTACACCATAGTCTTTTACAGACTGGCTAAAAGTTATGAACAGTTTATTAATATTGAACCATTAAACATATTTTGATTAAATCAATTTTATTAAATTTTCCCAAGCATTATAAAAGTCCAAAGAAAAACTATTTGCATTAAAATCTGTAAATTTTTTATTGAAGTTTACTACCGTTCCTACAATTTTTTATAATGCCTAATTCACTATCTAACGAATTTTAAGTTTTAATGAAGTATTTGTTAAATACAATGAAAATAAAACAGAAAATATAGCTGAAAAACAAGAGAATCTTACTGTAAACAATGTTAAAAAAATGTTTTCTAATATAAAATATAAATATATAACTTTAGCAGAATTTAAATTGTGCTTAAGCCAACTTAAATATCAAGTCTTGTTCTTATACAATCCGTCTGTATATATCAACATACACTGAACAATTTACTTTAGTAAAGCCTCATTTTAAATTTAGTATTTTTGTTATTTGCGCAAAAATATAAGTATTTAAAAAAGAAGTACACTCACAGTACATAAACTTGTTTTATTAGTTTTAAAAATAACCGAAAGTAATAGTATAAAAAAATGTTAAACCTTAAGTAATAACTTTCTGAAAAATTGTCTTTCCAGGAAACAACTGTGGAAAATAAAATTTTATAAGTACTACTTTAATAAACAATAACTTTGGAATTACAGAAATGCAACAAGTTGTTCTAAAGCTAGTAGAATCAACAGGTGGCAGTTTAGAGGGTGTCTCTCAAGTTTATTAAGAAAATTACAATTGGTTGAATACAATAATTTGAGTTTCAAGTTTAATTTATTATCGATGTTGTTGTGACGGGAAAGACGGATCAACAATAAATTAAATTATGTACCACATAAGCAAATCAGCAGGACAGCATTGCATTAAATCTAACATAATGTGTTAAGAAGTTTCTAATTTTCTGTAATCTGGTTTTTAAAATTTACCTGGTGTTATTTTTAAACATTAACATATAAACATGTATATTTTTTATATGTATATAATTCAAAACAATTAGAGTTCAGAAATTGTATAAATTGTAAAGAAAACATTCTGTTTTTTTCCGTTCTTTACGTCTTCACCATTCAAATAATAACACAGTAGGTAATAACAGTATGCCCAGACTTAAATAATCTCCTAGCAACTTACACCTGTTTGAAGTAAAAAAAAATAAATATTTTACTAAGTTCTCTAATCTTGAAAGAGCAAAGAAATATTTCGAGGGTCATGGGATTTAATTGAGACAGCGTATGATTTGTGGAAGTAACAGGCGGTCATGGCAACTACAATAACAAAGAGGACAAGAGTCCTGCAAGAAATTCAAAACAAGAATGTATTAAGAACTACAAAACCCAAAAAAACTATACAAGATGAAGAATTGGAAAATGAATATAGCAAAGACACGATTAAAGCTATGTTGAAGAAAGAAAGTTCATACCATTACGACCTACGAGAGACTGAGGTAAGCAAAAAAGCAAGGTGTGTTTTAATAGATTGGTTAATTGAAATCCATGAAAGCTATTCGTTCAAACAGCAAATTCTTCACTGCACAGTATCAATTTTAGACAGCTATACTATGAAAGGTGTAGTTAATCACAACAATCTTCAGTTAGTCGGAGTCACATCAATGTTTCTTTCTGCCAAAAATATAGGTGTGTTATTTCCACAAGTTAATGACCTTATTTACATAACTGGCTCATATTTTACAAAATCCGATTTACTATCGATGGAAATGTCCATTCTGAAAACTTTAGAATATGATTTAAACCAGCCGGTCTCTTCTGAATTTTTAAAGAGGATAAATGAATCGATAACAGTGCCTTCTTCTGCCATCAATTACGCAAGATATTTTTTAGACGTGTCATTATTTGAACCTTTGTTGTGCAGTTGTCCTCCTTCGAAAGTGGCCTGTGCAGCGTTGGATTTAGGGTTGCACATTCAAGAAGAAGAAGAATACGATTGGCATGAAAAATTTTACAATATTTCTTCTTACAGGGAAAACGATTTCAAGGAGCAAACGACTGCTCTTATCAAAACACTGGAAGGATTAGACCACGTGAAATATCCCGCTGTGAAAAAAAAATATGACACAGCAAAATACGGATATGTGAGCACCAGCCCAATGGAGGTATTGAAAGCTCTGAACTCACTTAAAATTTAATAACCTTAACACATACTTAGTGAAATTAATTTACCTCAGGAACTTGATTGTTTGAAATCAATTTAAATTATAAAGGTTAAAATATTAGCGCAAGAATATAGAAGAAACGCATGGCACAAAGCATTAAAATTAAGTACTGTAGATGCTAGGAAATGAACATTGCTCACCATAAAAGAACATATCTTGGAGCTCTTTCCAAAAACAAGTTCGCACTGTTTGTTTTCATTGAAAACTTCACCAGGGAATTGCCCTTCGGCTCCAAATCTTTCAGGCAGTTTGTCTTCAGCTGGAGAATCCAACAAGCAATCCCCGGACCCTGCACTGAACAAACAACTTGAACAATACCTCACAAATATATGTTTACGAATGAAATGGGTATTGACATTGATAAAATAAAAAAATACACAAAGTAGGAAAATAAATTTTGAAAGAAAACAGTGACTTACAATTAAAAAAAATATAGACTAATGGACATGTATTTTTCACCCATCAAAAAATCTGTAGAAATTGAACAAAAGTCCTCGATTGTTAAATTTTCCCCAGAGATAGTTTTAATGTGAAACAATTGACTATTTTGAAAATAAAACTTCAATATCAAAAGAAATCTAGACAATAATAAGCACTATATATTTTCATGAGTTATTGGTATAACTCTAGTTATAAATTAAATCAGTCACTGACTTGCACAAGCTGGGTCTAGAAGGGTCATACTTACGAGGTTGTGCATAGGCCACACCAAGATAACACGGACACTTTCTAATGGAGGTGAGACCATGCAGGTGCCCAGTGAAAAAATTATCATGGTAGAGCGTATAATAACAGATTGCAAAGAGAGAAATATAACATGACCTATGCACAACCTTGGTGTACAGCAGGAGGAACAGATTGCTTACCCAAGCTCAGGGTTATAAATCTTTTTAACTGTATGGAACCTTCATGCATGCAATGTAAATGTGATTTATTGAAATGAATGTATTTATTTGCGTGAATGGAGGGGCCTATCCTTAAATTACCCCGAAGAACGTCGAGTACTCTGGGTAGTGTGAATGAAAGTGTGAATATTATTTATTGGTATGAATGGAGGGGCTTATCTCTGATTATTGATAATATTGATTTAGGAGCAAGAAAATTAAATATTAAATCTTTCAGCTTCCATTTAAAAAAATCTTAAAAAAATCAGAAATTGTATTAATGAAGGAATTATTTTGATTTTCGATGTATTACATACATTTTCACATATAAATCGACTGTAAAAATATACGTGCATAAATAAACATAATTTGCTTTTTAATATGGCATGCAATAAGATATAAAAGAAGAATACATTAAAAGTACGACATAAATAATATACTAACTCTAAAAATTCTGTGAGAAAGTGGCGGCTGCAGTTTGACCATGCCCATGGGTATGTGTCCTGATCCAGCATTCTTGACATGACGAAGCTCTTTGCTTTTCTTTTTTCTTTGTAAGGAGCACACTTGGAGTCGTCGTCGTGGGGCATGTTCAGTCTGAAAATTTCTCATTGTCTTTACTCTGTTCACTATTTTTATTTTCTTCTTGTATAAAAACGATATCACAGAGCCAATTTCGTTGATTAGTGGATGGAAGATTAATTAAGAACCAATTTGGCCGGTACACGACGAGTTGACAAATTTTCGATTACTAATAAGGTTTTGGCGAGTTTTATTTTGACTCAAACTTCTGTGCTTGAAAATTATGAAGGCCTGTGCAAATTTCACCTGTACTGACAGGAATTTAATATATTATAACCCATCAAATTGATATAACCTCTCGAGTGTTGTTTTTGAAATTGAAAAATCAAAATTCATGTTGATATAAAACAGTAAACAATAAAACCTACGTCTTGTAAAGCAAAAAAGGCCGTTTTTGAAGAGGGTTCACGTTCAACTCGGTGGCTTTATTTTATCGCCGTGAAACCAGTTTGCACTTGCGAGTTTCGATGGGTTGGCTGTTTACGATTTGATTGGACACGCATTTAAATTTTCCTCGACGATAATCGTGGCCTATAAAACTTAAAAAGACCAACTGTCGTCATTTTTCTATTTGTCGCGGTAAAAACCATCATTCACTCATGATCAGTAGTCATCGGTTCACTCAAAAATGAGTAATTGCTCAATCCTTTCCATTTTTTTTTCAAGTAGCATGTCCATAATTACATACATAGTTTATTTTATCGTATTATTAGTGTTTGGTCGTGCCAGATCATACTGGTCTAACTACACCAAACTCCTCAGGGGGTTCTAAATATTGCTGACACACGGTTTCAACATGCCGAGACCTTAGTAACACTCGAAACCATAAAATATTGTAAAATAATCCGTAGCATTTTTGTACAATTCTATTTTATCTCTCTTGTGTTTAAAAAGAAATGTTTATTTTGTTATTATTACTACACAGTCGGAAAATGAGTTTTTATTGATAAGTTTCATTCGAGATTCCCTATTTTTACGAGATGTTTAAATTTAAAATGATAGAAAATGGTCGTTCCACAATTCAGAAAGGAAAAATTGTGATAATTATGTGATGACGCTTTAAATTTCGATTAGGAAGACGCAAAGCTATCTGGTCGTCCTACCATTGTTGATGATGACCAAATGCACTTGTCACAAATAACCGAACTACATTAGACAGAGGCGCAGAGGCACTTAACGAATCTCATGCAAGTTTCAACGCATCTGAGAGCAGCTGTTCGTCGAAGAGAAAAAAGTTATAGGACCCTCCATCTGCGATTCTCTCCTAAAACGCAGTGTATACGGCTCATTCTTAAAAAGATTGATAACTGGGTATGAAAAATGAAATGAGTCCTTTACAAGTATGTTCAGAGAGGAAAATCGTGGTAAAACGCAGCGACCCACTGTTAACAACTCCAAAAGATTACATTCCAAGAAGGTGATACGTTTGTTGGGATCGGAAGAGAGTTTATGTGCTTCTTCCGTCCGACCAAAACGCAATTTTAGTGTATTCTATTTTTGGTTAGCTATTTGTCAAAACCAACCATCATTGGCTAATCACAATGGAATTATTTTACGACAAGATAAACCTCGCCCTCTTGTGTCTTTACAATGCGCCAGAAATCGTTGGAGCTTTGCTATATGAACTACTCCAATCCCCTGTTTTCATGACTTTGTCCAACCAAATTTTCCCCCAATTTAAAAAAAAATAATAAAAGTGGGACCGATACAACAATGTTCAGAGAGGAAAATCGTAGGGAAAACGCGACGACCCACTGTTAAGAACTACAAAATATTCTATCTCAAGAAGGTTATGCATTTGGTAGGATAGGAAGAGAGTATTTTATGGGTTTGTTCCGCCGGCTCTGCAATACTGAAAACTTGACTTCACGTATTATTAAACCTAACGTATTAAACAGCTGATGTCAGTTTCAACAATGGGATCGCCAGCCCCTAGGCTTTAATTAATATGTACAGATAAGTCTGGTTCCAGCGGGGCAGTGCCCCTGCTTATATAGAGAGAGCTTTACTCTGATTGGCTGCATATTCCATAAGTCGTTCATCTAGCGGTATCGTGGAAACAAACTAGTGGCCACTACAATGACCATCTGAAGATAGTAGCAATGATGGTAGAAATGTTGACTGTTCAGTATGCCTGCGTCGGGCAGATGTGCACTCCCTACCAAAAGGCGTCGGGTAGCATCGGGTAGCGTCGCATGGCGTTGACACGGCGCTAATCGCTATAAGTTAAAGGTCCCAGGTTCGAATCCAGTGGCCCTCAAGGTTCCAACCCGACATACAATTGGGCTTTTCAAAAACACCTAGGACTACTGATACGACCTCTTGCGAACCATCCTGATACTGATACTGATAACTTTTCTAACTGATAACCATACTGAAAACTTTTCTATGTGACAATGTTAAAATAAGTTTAAAATATAAGTTAAATGTTTAAAAATCGCACAGAGAAATTATTAAAAAATCGAGTCTTATAGAAATGTTGATTGCGTAAATGTGATACGACTGAGAAATCACTTCTTTCCGAGATGATAGTGGCTATATTTCATTTCCATAAATCCTCTTAAAGGAATTTAAAATAGTTTTTTTTGGGGGAGAAAAACATCGCTTCGGATCACGACTAATGTTATTAACGCTCGAACCGTCTTGATTCGTGTGTCCCCGCATTATGTAAATTCCCGTGCCTACTCCCAGCGATGGGGGTTCGGTTCATTCTAGCTTAACCCAAGGCGCGCTAAAAATGAACGCCAGTTGAAACTACGGCCATAAAATAGTTAAAAGTTTTAATTAATTCATCCGGCGTTTCGTAAGGAAGCATCATATGGTCGTATATCAATCTGTAATAATTCTTCAACGTGAATTAGGCCGTCGTGAACGGGCCCGGTCGAGGAAGAGGAAATAAGGCCAAATCTCTTATGGAAACATGAGTCACTTTTTTTGTGTTACTCGTTAATAGAATAAGAAATTAAGTTAATAAAATAATGAGATCTCACTCAGTGATGTCACTCGAAAGAGAGCTCGTCCATTAAAATGCCTCAAATTTGTTCCCAACTTATTCTTCCTACAATATTTTTTATTTTTTTTTATTGCTACTGAACCTAAAATACTAGAACAGAATTCTATATCGCCCTATTTAAAAAAAAAAAAAAACAGAAAAAAAAACAGTGGTGGACAAACAGAATAGTTCTACTATTCATATTTCATGACCGCTAAGCAGCTTAGCAGACTAAATCGGGAGAAAAGGGCTTCGCTCACGGCTTTCTCGAATGAGCGCATAAAAAAACAAAACATAAGAGAGTGAGAGAGAGAGAGAGAGAGAGAGAGAGAGAGAGAGAGAGAGAGAGAGAGAGAGAGAGAGNTATTTCATGACCGCTAAGCAGCTTAGCAGACTAAATCGGGAGAAAAGGGCTTCGCTCACGGCTTTCTCGAATGAGCGCATAAAAAAACAAAACATAAGAGACAGAGAGAGAGAGAGAGAGAGAGAGAGAGAGAGAGAGAGAGAGAGAGAGAGAGAGAGAGAGAAAATCTCCGACTTTACGCCTATTCTGTTTTCTCCAGTAATGTGCGCCTCCATTTTATTGTATCATCAATGTCATCCCAGCGAAGAATAAATCACATCGAAGTGTTATTCCTTTTAAAGTTAATCTCACGTGATACTTTAAGGATGGAAAGGTCAGTTGGGAGGACTTGATCACGTGGCAGGTGGGGAAAATCTTGAGAAGCCGTGGTCCGAAAGTTCCTCAGTACGACTTGATTGTCTGCCTTTCAAAGATCTGTTAAGTTTTAAAAAAAGCCGATTAAAACGCCCCCATTTAAAATTATCGACCTAAAGCTTAAAAAAATTCCATTTTCCTGAATAAATTTTATGAATGGATGATCGACAAGTTTGATAATAAATGAAAAGAAAAGAGGATTATCTGAATAACGCAAAATCTTGAGATTTCCTCAGGAGGCCTGCTGGGTGATCTGAAGACGGTCGGTTCTGATCATTTTGATCAGCCTTCCTCGCAGGATTAAGGTCCTACGCTGACCCAGCGAGAAAAGGCAGGCAAGTGACAGGTAACGAACGATCAGATTTCATCACCCATCAGATAACATGGAGAAATCTTCCGGATTAACGTCGGCAAAGTAAAAATTCCTGATTTTTGGGTACATCATGAGCTAATTGAGCGGCAATGGTTCACAAATGCCATTACGTGCGTTTCCACGCTTTTTTAGGCCAAAAAACCGAGCTTTTGATCGAAAGAATAATATCTCGCGACTTAAAATAAATTGTGTATGCCATTCGAGTCGACCAGGGCAGTGGTTAAATGACAACCAATGGCCAGGACATAAAATGCCAAAAACCAAAACCAAGAACACCGATCGTTCGGTAAATTGGTTGTTACCAAAGTTTGATTTGCCTATCCGCGCTGAATTTGAATCCGGCATTTCGCCATATTTAACCTTTAGAATAAATTCTTTTCAATTAATTAAGGTTTTGGTTGAGATAAATAAGTCAGTGTTTTAGTTTAGTGAAGATATACATCATTTCACTTATTAAATTCATTAGATTTTGTAGTCCGATTGTCCAAATAAATTCTTTTCAATTAATTAATCTTTAATTCAGGTATTGGTTGAGATAAAAAAGTCAGTGTCACGAGCGGGATTCGAACCCACGACCTTAGGCTAAATACGCCGCTGCTCTACCACTCGAGCTATCGTGCCTTCGATCCACTCGGGCACTAGCTTCCCATCTCAACCCCACCTTTTGAATATCCCCTCCTTTTTGCCATTTTTCAAATGTCGTGTAATCTATTTGATTCTCGGGGACAAATGAAATGGCCAATAGATCCGTTTCCTTGCTTCCTGGGTCGAAAATGGGTTTGTTAATTAAATTTCGCGGAAAGTCGAGGATAGAATGCCCAAATCAAATTTATACCGGAAACATCTATGGTTTGGGGTAATTTGGTTGTTACCGATCATTTTGTTCCGCTTATCCCCGGCATTATGTTCGTCTAGATAATGTAAACTCGTGATAATTCCTCTTGAGGTGATGAAAATGTAAGTTGGTTGTTTTTGGTAAGCACACCCAAAACTTGATCCGTCAGTAATGATTAGATCATCCTCATATGTATAAAATTAGTTAAAACTCACTTTTTTTTAAAAGAACGATGGCGTAAGAGTAAACCGAGCAATGAGAGGTATAACAAAAATAATCGTTAACGACCAAATTATAGTTTCATGACCTCAATGTCAAAATCAAATCTTATATTTGTTGGGGAAAAGAAAAAAAATCACATTTACTCACACATGACCCAATTCGTGTGCGATCGTAAATCCAGCGCTAAGTCCGATATCCCTTACTAAAGCGCAGCTTGAAGGTTCGCACATCGTGCCCAACTCGGCGAGGCCTAGCGTATCACATTTGTCTGGTTGATGAAGATGGTCTCGGCAAATGTTCTCTCTGAAACAACAGAATGGCGTTACATAAAGTTTAACTACAGTTCAGTCTAAAATTAAGATTTCACGACCTTGTTTCAAATAAACATTAATAACTCCTAAAATAAAAGGTTTTGGACAAATCTGTTGATAGCATAGAAAACTACGTTAAATTTATAATAAGGTGCGATCAATAATAAACTTGTAAACGCTGGTGAAATAAGAGTTTTAGTAGCCAGAGCTTTGAAAAATATTTTTTTTCATATGTGTGGTGATTAGTGACCGTTAATCGATAATTATTCAGAAATCGTGAGATGCGGTCTGGTGTGATGTAAGTTCCAGAAAAACACTTTCTTTATCGTGCCAACGTTTCCATCTTTATTGAGATCATCTTCAGGGCTCAAAGTGTTTGTCTTCTGTGTAATTGTGCCATTCTTGCGTGTCGTGTTGAGAGTGCCAGTCTGGCACTCTCGAATCCAAATTAAAAAACGTTTAATAAATTCATTCTGTATCTCCTTAAGTTTTTTATTTTTTATTATTATTAATTCCACTAGTTTTCGTGGTCCGCTTGACCAATTAATATCTTTCAATTAATTAAGGTTTTTAATTGAGATAAAAAAAGTGTCACGAGCGGGATTTGAAAAATGGCAAAAAGGAGGGAAAATTCAAAAGGTGTGGTTGAGATGGGAAGTTAGTGTCCGAGTGGATTGAGTCACGATAGCTCAAGTGGTAGAGTAGCGGCGTATCTAGCCGGTCCTGGGTTCGAATCCCGCTCGTGACACTAATTTTTTTTATCTCAACTAAAAACCTTAATTGAAAACTATTATTAATCTTTCCACGATACCAATCCTTCAACCTCGGCTTTCTCCTATCCTTCATCAATTTTTTCATATTAGAAAAAAGTAATTTAAAAAGCATTTACACCACTAAGAAGGATATAAAATGGATTACGTTTTCTCAAATTTTCTAGTCCCCAGGTTTGGAAATAGTAGTTCAGAATCATCATAATAAGTTTGTCAACTATGAAAAAAAATATTTTACAAAGTTCTGGCTACTAAAACTATTATTTCCCCAACGTTTACAAGTTTATTATTTATCACGTCTTATTATAAATTTATCGTAGTTTTCTATGGTATCAATGGATTTGTTCCAAGACTTTTTGTTTATGGGTTATCAATGTTTATTTAAAGCAGGGTCATGAAATCTTAAATAATCAGAAAAAACGGAATAACTCCGAAACTGTTGGGATTGGGACCATAGTTAATTAGGACTTTTTGTTTCAATTTTGAATGTAGAATTTACTGGCAAAATTTGTAGACCCGAGTAGCCGAACACTCTGTATATGTTCATGTCTATATGTGTCCATCCCTAAACATATTAAGGTCCTATTGCTAGATATGAACGATAACGATGGAACTATTTGTACAAATGACGATCCCTTCTTCTCTGCAAACGAAACAATTTTTCCAGTGGTTATTGGCCTCTCGGTCCAGCTTTTTCTTTTATGTACAAAAGCAATCAACGCTATAAGCGAGGCAGTACAAACAGTGATTAGCTGGTCAATAAAAACCCTTTCGCTCTTTTTATTTTTCCCCTCGTCTCGATCCACTTTTCTCTTACTTTTCAGTGACCCCTCTGGAAAACAAAATTTTACCCGTTTTTTACGAATTTACTTCAACACTAAGCCTACAACTTCAGCAGAAAACATCTACTGTTGTTTTAGTCGCCCAACCAGGAAAGAATCGAAAGTATAAAAGCTGACAACTTTGAAAGCAAACTATTGCCCTAGAAAGTTGAAAGTCATACGGAAACTTACGTAATAGGCCTTGCCTCGCTTTATTTCCGAACGCCTTATGAGTTAAGTGGTCATTAGTCATTAAAAGACTCCTTTAACGATTCCCCATTAAGGTTTTACGTCCGGAATAGAACAAAGAAACCTATTCAACATGTTTTATCGGGTGTATTTTAGACGTTATAGTTTTGTAAAAGCTAGACAAAGCTGTAAACCAAAAAAGCCTATAAATAATAAAACAAACCCCTACTTAAGATCTTATTATAGTATTCGTATATAAAACACAAAAAAATTTTCTTTGCACCTATTGATTACAACTAATAAAAAAATTCTTTCAACTTTGCGGTTAGTTTTTAAAAAGGAAGCCAACTAGGCCAGGAAGAACTGAAGGCGTCATGCGGGTCAGGTATCACCAAACGCCTTAAAGTTAATACACCCTTAACAAAGTTAATAGGGGGGGGGCAACCCTTCCACCCAAAAAAGACAGTTAATAGATGAAACCTCTTGCTAAGGGACAGTCACTACTTTTGACCTCTTTTGTGACGTCTCCAATAAAAAGAGAATTTTATCAACTTACAATACATAGTGGGCAGTTTATGTGTATGTACAGATAGTCCATGTGGATTGTAAATTTAGGTGTACGATGTACAAACATTTCACGATGTTTAAATTTTACTTTTAATTTAGCTAATATTTTACTAGGTTTCTTAAAATTTTTGTAAGAATCAAGCAATTTTTTAAGCCAAACTTTGGTGGGGTCGGAGGCAAGATTAAAAAAATTCAACCAATTTCTCATCTGAACAGTTGTTCTAGAATTTTAATTAAATAAGAAATAAATTGGGAATTCTCTTTAGGCATTTACAATGAAATAGAGTTAGGGAAGCTGCCCTGGCAGCCGGGGAGTAAACAATAACACATAAAATACACACCTCTCCCCCTACTCATCAGCGCCGAGGCCCCCACGGAAACTATTTAAACAAACATTTGTTCCACAACACCCGAAATTATTACCGACAGCTCTCCTTTACGTAAACAATCCGATCCGTGATAGAGACACGGTTATTTGTTGGTATTCCCTTCGGGTAAGTGTTGGGGGTCCGTAAAACTGACAGGAAGACTTGTTACCCTCATTGATTATTTTTTGAAGGATGAAAAAAAGACCTTTTGTTAAGCATTTTAATTAGCGTTTTTCGTTAATCGATGAATTCTTTCTTGTCTCCCAGGGTCAATTGGCAAGATTGCTCGAATAATTTTTAACCTAGTAATTTAAAAAAACAAAAAAAACATTGAAATCGGTGGTCCCACGTCCGTAGCCTAATTTTAGTAGTCTGGCCTTTCAAACTTAATATTGATTTTTTTAAAAAGATTTAGTGGTAGATTGTAAAATAGAAACGATAAATGTAGAAATAGAAATAAGAATAAATAGTTTTAGTTATATTAAAAAACAACAACCATTTAACGAAAAAAATCATATTAATTTTAATAAAATTTTTTATTAGGTTTCGTGGTTCGCTCGACCAAATAAACTCTTTTCAATTAATTAAGGTTTTGGTGGAAATAAAAAAAGTCAGTGTCACAAGCCGGATTCGAACCCACGTCCTTCGGCTAAATACGCCGCTGCTCTACCACTTGAGCTGTCGTGACCTTGATCCACTCGGACACTAACTTCCCATCTCAACCCCACCTTAGAATCCCCTCCTTTTTGCCATTTTTCAAATGTCGTGTAATTTATTTGATTCTCGGCGACAAATGAAATGGCCACGGAGAGCTTTAGTGAAGCTTCATTTTGCTTATTTCATTTTATTAGGTTTCGTGGTCCGCTTGACCAAATAAGTTCTTTTTAATTAATTGAAGTTTTGGTTGAGATTAAAAAAAAAAAACGATTGAAAAGATTGAAAAGTGGCAAAAAGGAGGGAAAATTCGAAAAGGTGAGGTTGAGATGGGAAGTTAGTGTCCGAGTGGATCCAAGTCACGATAGCTCAAGTGGTAGAGCAGCGGCGTATTTAGCCGAAGATTGTGGGTTCGAATCCCGCTTGTGACACTGACTTTTTTATCTCAACCTTAAGTACAAATTAATTAATTGAAAGATATTATTCGGTCAAGCGGACTTCGAAAACTAGGGAATTAATTTTAATGTAACACATGAACTTGCATATCCACACTAATTAAATAAAAGCTGAATAGTTTTGTAAGAAACTTTTTCCCACACTATTTCCAAAATAGAAACTGTAAGATATTAAGATATGTAGTAATTGAGTAGTAATTTTAATTTCCGTTTGTTTTTTAATGGGGTGGGCGTTGTCTTCACGTAACTTTTAACACGTGGAATCGCCCCGTGGTTCAGGGCCAAAGGGTCACCAGCGTGGGCTTTAACTAATGATCGTACTCTTTCAAAACTACCTATTGCGAAAATAAAGTTCCTGTTGTCCGTCCAGTCCGTTATTAATTTTTTTTCCAACCTGGACCGACCCGGTGGCGAAAAAGATCGGTGTGCTCCGACGGTTGGAGAAAAACAAAAACAAATGTGACTGACCCTATAGGACCAGCTAGAGGGTCTGTGACCTCCGGAGTAGTGGATTCCACTTCAGTTTTGACAAATGACATAGGACAGGCAGCCACGCAGTCACACTTGCCGACGGTTTGTCAACTATCACGTGCAATCATACACGGCGAAGCTTTTAAAAGGACAGATTGATTATAAAGCGCCTCTTAAGCCTATTAAGAAAAGAGAAGTTTGAATTTATTCTCTTCTGTCTTTTCTAGGATTAGCCTACGTTCCGAACTCGGTGAAAATATTATGGAGTTGAAACCAGGAATAATTCAGAATTGAATAAGCATAGATTCGTATTTTACTTAATTATTTAATTATGATAATAAATTTTCAGTATAATTAAGGTTTTGTTTGAGATTAAAAAGTCAGTGTCGCAAGCGGGATTCGAACCCATGACCTTCGGCTCAATACGCCGCTGCTCATTGAATTTATTCGGTCAAGAGGACCACCTTATAAATATGATAATAACATATAATTGTCACGTTCGTATTTTTTGTTGGATATAAACGTCCACAGTATATTAATTATTCTTAATTAAAATTTGACTAGTAATTTCCTTCTGATGTGCTTCACTTATCGGCATGCGACTTCGGCAGGGTCGATTTGGTATTCTAGGAGGATACAAGGCGTCATTAGTTAAATATGTGAGCGGTTGCATTTTTCGAAAATACAGCGACGCTTA